ATTCTATTCTATTCTATTCTATTCTATTCTATTCTATTCTATTCTATTCCCTATACTCTTGTTCCTCATTCTATTCTATTCTACTCCTATTCTATTCTCTACTCTACTCTTCTTCCTCATTCTATTCTATACTCTACCCTACTCTATACTATACTCTACCCTACAATTCTGATTGTCTCTTACCATTCTCTATGCTGACTAAGGCTGAGGGAAGATGCCATCTCAAATATTTAAAATGTTCCAGATAGCCAAATTATTGGTTAGTATAAAGCAACATTAATTCTTGATCCTGTTCATTCAACATTTGTCACTCCCAACAATTGTTCGCAGTCGTTATGATGAATCCTTTAATTCTATGATCGCATACTCTTTCTTCCCACAGGATCCCTACCCCATTCAGTGCCCAGGATGGACGATGTTCAGAGAATGGGTAGCTATCAGTGTTTCTTCCTATCCTTTTCTCTCTCTCTGAGCCTCATATTTATCACTATGTGGCAGAGATCCTGTGGCTAAGAACTGGATGTGTGGCCATCTATCATACCAATTACGTAAGAAAAGCCAACGTAGGCTAATTGTCTTCAAGTTTCGATCTTGCAGTTTTCAGACAGACAAAGTTTAGTTTAGCCTTAGATTTCTTTTCATATCCCTTTTTTCCTTTGCTACAGAAGATTTCTAGTTTTCCCGTTGGCGTGCCCTGCATGGTAGAATGAATCATCCAGCAATTCTAATTTCTGAATCTGTCTTCGGACCTATTTATTTGCTTCTCCAGGCTCTGACCTTATCTTATTCTCTGTCACTTTCCATTATCTAATCTATCTTTGGCCTGCAAAGGGTCTGCTTATGTCTCTACTGTGGAGAAGACATACTATATGTATCATCTCAATGCCTCCTCGCCTGTCTCCTTGGATAACTTACACTCATTTATTTAGTTCTCTTCAACTCCTGTTGCTGTCCCCCCCCCCTCCAGTTGGGGACAAATTGCATTCTTTTGTATTTCATTCCCTCCTAAGAGAGTTCTCCATGTCTTGGTTATTGCAACTTTACTGTGTATCTCACTTTAAAACTAGAATGGAATGGAATGGAATGGAATGGAATAGAATAGAATAGAATAGAATAGAATAGAATAGAATAGAATAGAATAAGAGAGTTGGAAGGGACCTTGGAGGTCTTCTAGTCCAGTGGTTGCCAACAGGTGGGCTGCGGCCCACTGGTGGTGGTCCGCAGAGAAATGTCACCCCCAGAACACCCCCCAAAACAATACAGGCTGCGCAGGAACATAAGGTTGCACCGCCCACGTGGCCCTCCCTCCCCTCCCACTCACTCCTTACCTGGCAAACTTGCCAGCTAAATTGCTATTTTTCCTTCTTTTATTTCCCCAACCATCAGCTGTTCTGCTGTGCTGGGAGATTTAGATTAGCTAGAAAGCAGGAAACCGTTGGCTGTCTTGCTTTCTAGCTAATCTTTAGATCTTCAGTCCCGCAGGACTGAAGGTTCTATTATTTAGTTGCAGACTCAGATAGCCGATGGCAGAAACACAGATCTCTAAGTGAATCTGTGATTCTGTGAGCAACTCAATCTGCCTGCTTTGCCTGATTTTGGGTAAAAGTTGCTCTTTTTTACATAAAAAAATAAATATTTACACAAATATTTATAATATTTACATACAAGCCATGTCCAGCCAGTCACATGACCACCAACCCATGCCCAGTCAGCAAGCCATGCCCAGCCCGTCACATGACCACCAAGCCACACACACAAATTAGACCACACCCAAGAACCGGTTGTTAAGAAATTTGAATCCCACTCCTGCCTCTGTGTGTTTGTGTGTGTGTGTGTGTGTATGAGAGAGAGAGAGAGAGAGAGGAAAGAGGGAGAGAGGGAGGTTAGATCAGATCTCTCTCTCTCTCTCTCCCACCAACGTCAGCAAACCACCGTCAGTCAAAATTCATATGAGTGGTCCCCGGGATTTAAAATTATGAGTTTGGTGGTCCCTGAGGTCCAAAAGGTTGGCGACCCCTGTTCTAGTCCAACCTCCTGCTTAGGCAGGAAACTCTACACCACTTCAGACAAATGGTTATCCAACATCTTTTTAAAAACTTCCAGTGTTGGAGCATTCACAACTTTTGAAGGCAAGTTGTTCCACTGGTTAATTGTTCTCACTGTCAGGAAATTTCTCCTGAGTTCTTAGTTGCTTCTCTCCTTGATTAGTTTCCATCTGTTGCTTCTTCTCCTACCCTCAGATGCTTTGTTTGGAGAATAGCTGGACTCCCTCTTCTTTGGGGCAACCCCTGAGATATTGGGAGACTGCTATCATGTTTCCCCTAGTCCTCCTTTTCATTAGACTAGACATACCCAGTTCCTGCAACCGTTCTTCATATGTTTAGCCTCCAGTCCCCTAATCATCCTGGTTGCTCTTCTCTGCACTCTTTCTAGAGTCTCAACATCCTTTTTACATCGTGGTGACCAAAACTGAATGCAGTATTCCAACTTCCAAGTTGTTTCTTAATTAATGCTTGAGAATATAGCAAAAGTTAATAACTTGTGGCATGTGGGAACCTCATTAACATGCCATATCTATTAACCTTGGTGGGATAATCTGCATGGACAAATAGATCACCAAAACTGAATGATCATAACAATGTGACACCTGAATGGAAGTTTAGAGATTCCATTGAAGATGCCAAATGTTCCTTTTGTGCAGTGGTGGGATTCACATTTTTTTACTACCGGTTCTGTGGGCGTGGCTTGGTGGGCATGGTAGGGGGAGGATACTGTAAAATCTCCAGTCAGAGGTGGGATTTGCTGGTTCTCCGAATGACTCAAAATTTCCGCTACCGGTTCTCCAGAACTGGCCAGAATCTACACCTCTGCTTTTGTGTCTTATGAGTGTATCTCCCCAATTCTTCTCCCTCCTTTAGAATTATAGGCAAGCTTTATACCACTATGGGTTTTAATCTATCACAAATAGTCCTATCTCTCTTTGCATGCAGGTAGTCTTTGACTTATGACCACAATTGAGCCCCAAATTTCTGTTGCTAAGCGAGACAATTGTTAAGTGAGTTTTACCCCCATTTTTTGGACCTTTCTGGCCACCATTGTTAAGTGAATCACTGCAGTTGTTCAGTTAGTAACCCGGTTAAGTGAATCTGGCTCCCCCCCCATTGACTTTGCTTCTCTGAAGGTCACAAAAGGGGATCCCATGACCCCGGGGATGCTGAAACCGTCATAAATATGAACCAGTGGCCAAGTGGCTGAATTTGGATCACATGACCATGGGGATGCTGCAATGGCCGTAAGTGTGCAAAACGGTCATAAGTCACTTTTTTCAGTGCCGGTGTAACTTTGAACGGTCACTCAATCAACTATTGTAAATCAAGGTCTACGTCAGGGTTCCAGAAAAGCCCCAATCAAAAATTCCCCATCCTACAAAAAAGATGTAGAAAAAGTTCAGAGAAGAGCAACTACGATGATCAAAGGCCTGGAGACTAAAACGTATGAGGAACGGCTGCAGGATTTGGGCTTGGATAGTCTAAAGGAAAGAAGAATTAGGGGCAACATGATAGCAGTATTCCAGTATTTGAGGGGTTGCCACCAGAGGTGGCCTTCAGCAGGTTCTGACCAGTTCTGGAGAACCAGTAGCGGAAATTTTGAGTCGTTCGGAGAACCAGCCAATCCCGCCTCTGACTGACCCCGCCCCCATCTATTCTCTGCCTCCCATTGAGTCCCAGCTGATGGGCTGGGTCTTCTTTGGTTGCCCTGCACAGGAGAACGGAGCTGGAAAGCAGGTTAGTGGGGTGGGGAGGGAATGGGGATTTTGC